TTGGCAGTGCTGGGGATTGAACCCAGGCCATCCTACATGCTAGGCAAATGCTACACCACAAACCACATTTCCAGCCCCTTCCTATTGAATTCTATATACAGTGAAGCAAGAACTCTTGACAGTTTTGAGGAGTTAAGGGGTTCCAAAGGTCTCCTACAGTTTAGTAACTCATAAGGTATGGTTTCCACTAATCATGACTCAAGGAGAGAGACTCATGTGTCACTTCATTTTACTGTTATTAATTATGGAAGTACTTCTAAAAAGTGCTATGAATTATCTTTTGAAGCTATTTGGGGAGTCATTAGTTCTTTCCATACGCTTTATGCCCACATTAATGAAATAACCCGCATACAGTTTGTAAAGTATTTAAGGACTTACCACCCATCTAGCCATTTCCTGATTTTCTAGTTGCTTCATTAATGAGTAAAGCCTCACATCTGCTAGAGCAGACAGAAGTGCTTGGGCAAGTCTGGGAGTCCAGATCTTCATTAAGTTAAAAAGAAGAAGTTATTAGACACATCTCTTAGCTCATACTGAATTAGCATAAAATCAACAAGCTGATCCAACTATCATTTGAAGCCATTTTTAGTACAAAAATAGATAATATATTATTCTGTTTTTTGTAAAAATACATGTTTTCTACAAAAATTACATTAATTTCTCATGGACATACAAAAGGTAGTTTTACCATTTTCATTTTTTGTTTTCACACGTTTCATATATATATTTTACACATGTTTCATATACATAAGAAATATGTGAGATACATATACCTTAAAACACTACTCATTTTAATTTAAATAATTGTAAACCATTTTATTGTGTTGAGATTTATTTTAGAAGTATATTTATTTCTATTAGCATATAATAAATAAATAATATAATAGCAAGGAAACCCAGGATTCAAGCCCAGGTGTGTCTGACACCAAAGCCTGTGCTCTCACTGTTAAGTTATACTGTTTTCCCATCCTACAATATAGAAAATAAGACGACAGATTACTGGGGGTGAAAAAAAGCTGGACGTTGTGGCACATGTCTGTAATCTCAGTGGTTGGGAAGCTAAGGCAGGAGGATTGCAAGTTCGAGACCAGCCTCAGCAATTTAGCACAGCCCTAAGCAACTTAGCAAGACCCTGTCTCAAAATAAAAAAGGGCTGTAGATGTGGTTCAGTGATAAAGCGCCCCTGGTACCAACCCCTCCCCCAAACAAAAGAAACCCCAAAAGTATTCTATGATCACAGTATTCAGATGACATTAAAGAATAATTTATGAGTAAAATAAAAGAAACTAAAGAACTGGGCTGTGGCTCAGAGATAGTGTGCCTGCCTAGCATTCATGAGGCCCTGGGTTCCATCCAGCACCACAAAACAAAACAAAAACAACCCAAAAAGCAGAAAAAGAAAGAGTAAATGTATTACAATTAAATTACACTTTAGCATTAGCATGTCTGACACTTTTCTCAGTTCATAGCTTCTACAGTCTACCTATGTTAATGGGAGAAACTCTGCTATTGCTCTTAAATTCTCTTTCCCCAGGATAGTCACATTATCGTTTTCATGTTCTGGTCCTCATTTCTCAGTAATGGAGAATGAACTGATATTTATCAGTTCAAAGGAGAAGGTACAACCCTGCTTTAAAACAATACCCGCTAGGGATGGGGTTGTAGCTCAGTGGCAGAGCGCTTGCTTAGTACATGTGAGGCACTAGGATCAATCCTCAGTACCACATAAAAATAAATAAAGGTATTGTATCTATCTACAACTAAAAAAAATTATTAAGAAAAAAAAAATACCCCCTAGAACTTCAGTGTCTTTCGAGGCTCCAAAAAAATACCCCAAGAGGGGCTGGGGTTATGGCTCAGCAGTAGAGTGCTCACCTTCCATGTTTAAGGCCCTGGGTTCAATCCTCAGCACCACATATAAATAAATACATAAATAAATAAAATAAAAGTATTAAAAAAAAAACACCCCAAGATTCAGAATACTGAACCACTAGCTCTCTGTAACTGAAAAATACAGAAGGCCTAAACTTTTAGTTCAACCTGATGACAGCTTAAAAGATCTAGAATGTGAGGCTACAGAAAAATTTGTACTACTGGTAACCTATTTTGGAAACTGACCTAGTAAAATTCAACATCTAGGAATTACAATCCTACTTACTATTGATGGCCAGTTACTACATTGCACAATTATTATGTATATCATTAAATTTCTGTCATATTAATTTTTTCTAAATTTGAATTTCAACACTAAATACTGATTGGGTTTATGTGTGTTTTGTCTTCATAAGCTCACATAACATGGTTTTCCACTTACAAGCTAAAAAAAACACCAATTTCAAGTGATTCTTTTTAAATTTTTTTGGATGTTAATGGACCATTTATTTTATTATATATATGCGGTGCTGTGAATTGAACCCAGTGTCTCACACATGCTAGGTGAGCGCTCTACTGCTGAGCTACAACCCCAGGACTCAAGTGACTCTTTTATGAAGGAAGTATACTTCTAAAATTCAAATTATGTGTATATAAAAGTTATTTTGAAAATCTGCATATATTAACAGAATTCCTCATAGCAGGATATGCTTGCTTAGTCTTGTGTTCTTTTGAGGGTGATGGTGGTACTGGAGATTGAACCCAGAGGTGCTTTCACTCAGTTGCATCCTCAGCCCCTTTTTATTTTGGAGAAAAGGTCTTGCTAAATTGCTTAGGGCCTCACTAAACTGCTGAGGCTGGCCTCAAATTTATAATTCTCCTGCCTTAGCCTCCCACATGGCTGGGGTTACAGGCTTGCACCACTGCACCTGGCCCCAGCCCTTTTTATATTTTATTTTAAGACAGTGTCTCCCTGAGTTGCTGAGAGTCTTGCTAAACTGCTGAAGTTGGCCTGGAACTTGTGATTCTTCTGCCTCAGCCTCCTGAATCACTGGATTATAGGCATGTGCCACTGCCCCTACCCAGTTTTGTGTTTTGTATGTGTTTGGCATCTTGGGCATTTCAGATGAGGCTGGACTTTAGCAACAGTAGACTTTTAAAAACAAACTTCGTGGTACCAATAATATAACATAATACCAATTAACTCTAGAAAAATGATAGAATACATGTTTTAAATAACATTTTTGATTACTTTTATTTAAACTTACCAGCAGCTGAACACTGTCTTTCCCCAAAAGATGCAGAATCTTGTAAATGCTTGCAAAGATTAAGGGGTAAGTATAACCCCTCAATCTTTCTGTCCATTCCCAGGTCATATAACCATAATTAGTAATATTAAGGATTAAATGTCAAATAGTATTGAAATAATCTATTTACACTTTCATATATAAAACAACATTTTACTCTTTAACATTGGAATTTTATTTATTTATTTATGATGTGTGTGTGTGTGTGTGTGTGTGTGTGTTGCTGGGGATTGAACCCAGGGCTTTGTGCATGCAAGGCAAGCACTCTACAAACTGAGCTTTATCCCCAGACCAACAATGAAATTTTAAAACCCAGTATTTTATATTGGCTATCAGAATTAAAACTTCAGTTGGCCAACTAAATGCTTTGACTGCTTCAAGACAGAAATGTGTTTTTTACTTTATTTGAATCTGCCAAGTACAAGCATTGTGGGACTATACACACTAAAGGATGTGTCAAGTATATTAACAACAAAGAAAGATACAGAAGAAATATTGGTATTCAGCAATGGCATACTTTGATGAGTTGAAATTGTGAGAAAATGTGTATCAAAAGAGGACTCATTCCTAAGATAAATATACATTCATTGTCTGGAAAAGAAACTAGAAAGGATATTTGAAAACCATGTGATGTGCAACTTCAAGAGACTGCCAATATTCATCTGGAACAAAACTTGTCTGGACCAAAAAGCAATTAAATATTCGTAAAGCAATGGTAAACAAAACCAGATAAATGTTTTCTCCAAGAAGATCTGAAAAACAAAACAATAAGCAATTGTGGCAAAAAAGACAGGCATTCCACTTGCAGAACTTAAAATCTGCCCTTCTGTTTGGCCCCTAGCTTAACCTTTGTTAAAGCACAGTGGTGAACTCTCAAAGTTGACCAGGGCTGAAAGGTACTCTAGGGCCAGAGCCTCACAACTGGGTGATGGCTACTCCTTTTATTTAAACCAACTTGTCTTGCAACTTCCTGTACAGAGAATATTGAGATAAATACTGGAAAAAAGACTGGGTTGACTAAGTCCTCAAGCTAATTAGGTTATACTACATGTGCGCCTAATGAAAGAATCTAGTAAACAAATTACTAATTAGAATACAACTCTGTCAACAGTGGAATATCTTCATCATCATCAGTAAGAGTAGTAATAGTAGTAGCAGCCAGAAGCGCTTTACCATTGAGCTACACCCCCAGCCCTTTTTATTTTGAGCCATGGTCTCACTAAATTGCTGAGGCTGGCCTCGCATTTGCAATCTCCGACAGCCTCGGGAGTCTTTGGGATTACAGGCATGCACCACCAACCCAGCTCCTCTGTATTTTAAAATCTCTTTTTGATAATGTATGCCAGTTAATGGGATAATTCCTTTACATGTATGTCATTTAACCCTCAAAACAACGCTATGGGATAGATATTATTAGCTCCATTTTACATACGAGGAAACTAAGGCTCAGGAATTACATTGCCTTGTCCAGAGTAAAAAGTTATAGAAGGCTAAACATTCAAATTCAGGTCGGCCGGCTGTTGCGCAAATCTGCTCTTAACCACAAATGGGCAGATTGTATGCCAGGTTTTTTTTTTTTTTAATATGAATTTAGTTACCAACATTTAAAAATCAGATTTAAGTTAAAACCTGCATTTCCAGTATTCAAGTCTATTTTAAGATCTGGCAGCACAAAGCGAAACTGGTAACTGGCTGACAGTGAAAAGTAGGGTGCTTCCTTTGAGTCGGACTGTAGCTCTCCATACAGTCCCCTCACTCACCTCCGCGGCGCCGGTTCTGGTCCTGGGCTCTGACGTACAAGGTAGACTTTCTCTTTCGCAGCTTTGTTTTCCCGTGGGAGCGGTTTTGGAGAGCGCGGAAAGCAAGGCTGCGGCCGCCACCTTCCGGCTCCATTTCCACCTGCTTGGAGGCCAGCAGACGTTCCCCAGCCGCCACCTTCCAAGGACGGAAGGAAGGTGGAGAAACGCGCGCTGCTGGTGCTGCAGTAAGTTTGGTCTTTGCGAGCAGCCGTCGCTTGCAGACGCGGAGGTATCCGGGCCAGGGCCAGTCTTGAAGCCAACGCGCCAGGCAGTCCCCGCAGCAGAGTGCGGGTCTTCTGCAGAAGGCTCCCGCGTTTTCTCTTTGGCGCTGCCTAGCCGCGGAGGACGGGAATAGCTGCCTGTTTTTGGTTTTGTCTCTGCTCCGACGTCCGGAAGTGCTGCCGGAAGGAGACCAATCTCCCCTCGCGGGGACAGGCGAAGGCGCGGGGGAAGCGTCGCGGAGCTGCCACGGGACGGTCGGACGTGCCGAGTGCTGGCGGTACTGGTAATGATAATCATAAACCTAAGTGTGTAACATTGCACTGCTTCGGTGGTCTTACAGAAACTCCCTGTTGAACGGGGTAGTCAGGGTAGCTTATTGCACCTATGTAGCAACAGGCTGAAAGGACTGGGGAGGGAGGGTGTGTTGATTTAACCCGTAACCATTGAACCAAGCATGATTGATAAAATTTGTCACTTATTGACTCAACTGTAGGAGATAGGAGAAAACAGGCTTTTCTTGCCCAAGTTAGTTTAAATTACATTCCAGGCATATTAAGGGCAGGCTAGTTAGTTTATAGTCTGATATTTGTGACCTCTGGTGCTGGTGTAGGAGGCCATGTTAAAATCGAGTAAACAAATTCTTCACTGTGCTTTCCTTATTCTAGAAAGGAATATGTTGGCAAGGAATATCACTTTCTGGAAAGCCTTAGAGTCTTTCAGTTGTTAAAAATTTAACAGCACATTTCATTATATTTTTCTTAAAAGCATATTTTTCTTAAAATATAAATTATAGATGGCAGATAATTTATATTTGATATCTTCTGTGCTTACTAAAACAAAAAAAGAAACAATTTTTTTTTTTTTTTTTTGCTGGGTATTGAACCCAAAGGTGCTTTTTGCCACTGAGTCACATCTCCATCCCCTTTTTAATTTTTTTATTTTGAGACAGGGTTTCATTAAGTTACTTAAGTCCTTGCTAAGTTGCCCATGTTGGTCTCAAACTAGCAGTCCTTCTGCCTCAGCCCCAGAGTCGCTGGGATATCAGGCATCGGCCACTATTCTAGGTGGAACTCATTAAATCGTTTAGCTCATTAAACAATTGTTCTTATGGTACATACTACTAAAAAACATGAATAATCCAAAAAGGACGAATGGAAAGTAATAATTCTCTGTCTACCTTACTCTTGCTTCCAGTTCACATTTCTCAGAGGCAATCACAGCTTTTTCCAACTGTTTTGTTTTGTTTTAATTTGTTTTGTGGTATGAATTAAAAGCATAAAGAGAGTGTCATTCCCTGCCATCTTTTTCCCATATTAAGTTATCCATTTAAAACCATGGAGAACATACTGTAATAAAAGAAGATTTAGCTTTGTCTTATATCGTCTCCTTACCTTATTTCCCATAGTTAAAGTGATGCTTCAATAGTACAAAAAATGTTGTTCACTCTCAAGCAAAGTAGTGATATGAAATCTTAAAGTGATTATACTAAGTCATTGCTCTGTTTCCTCTTTTCTTTGTACAGAGATATGAAGAGATTTGCTGAATGTGGAATATAACTTTTCAGAACCACCTTTGTTTTATTCTGTGTTTGTTGCAACAATGTTTGGGAGATTGACTTTTCCACAACTGCTTTTTGCTGGAGTCCTTGGACTTGCTGGAGGAATATATATTTATCAACCAATATTTGAACAATATTCCAGGGAGCAGAAGGAATTAAAAGAAAGGGCGAAATTGGCACAAGCATCAGAAGAGAAGAAAAGTTAATACTACCTGGAGTTGAATTGTAACAGTTGATTAAAATTTTGCTGAAATTATACACTGACCTAGGAAAAACTTAGGTATTTTTTAAACACAAATAAATAATGGATAATGATATTTTTAAAACTAGCACTATGAATTTAATGTTTTATTTGCCATTTTAAATCTTTATCAGGATAAATTAGTAACTTCCTTTTAAACAAAAATGAATGTCTTCAGGGCAATATATAAATTGATCTAATCAATGCCTCTAATAATTTAGTGTGAGCTCTTGCAATGTTTTCTTCCATGAAGTTAAAAATAGCTTTGATTAAAATGTCAAATATCTGTTATGTGTCAGGTTTGGCTTTGCCTGGCTACAGGCAGACTGGGATTCTGTTCTGTATGTCTTCTCGTGTGGGACCCATGCTTAAGGAACAGCCCCTGTCTGAGCTATGCTAGTAAAGGAGATAAAGACTGAGAGGAAGCATACAATGGTAGGCTTTTGCCAGTTGTGGCAAATGTCATCTTTTCATAATTTTGTTGATTTGGAGCATGTCACATGGTCAGTCCCAAAGTCAAAAGGCAAGAACATGGATTATTCCTACAGGATGCATTGTCAAGTCACATGACAATAAATAGAAATATGTAAGCCTATTATATCCAAGGAATAATAGTCCTAACACATTAGGTTAAATTGAACTGCTTTTGGTCCTTCTTTTTTAATGGTGCTGGGGATTGAAACCACGTCCTTGTGCATGCAAGGCAAGCACTCTACCAACTGAGCTGTATCCCCAGCCTTTGATGCTTCTTTTGAGACATATTCCTTGGTCAGTTTAGAAGTCACATACCAAATGCTAGAGGCTGAGGTTTTCGGTTTTTCTTTTTTTGGTAAAGATGGGTCTATTCAAATCAAAACCACAGTGAGGACTACAGTATTCCTCAGCAGTAGATTGCTTAGCTTGCACAAAGCCCTGGGTTCTGTCGCCAGAACCAAAAAAAGAAAAGAAAACCACAAAACAAACTATAATGAGATACCCTTTTATATTCACTAGAATGATTACAATAAAAAAGACAATGATGTGGAGCAAGTGGAATCACCATGTATTGCAGTGGAAATATAAAATGGTACAGCTACTTTGCAAAAGTTTGGCAGTGTTTCAAGTGGTTAAACTTAATTACCACATGGTCCAGCAATTCTCCTCCTAGATATATACCAGATAGAATTGAAAACAAGTTTATACTAAAGCTGTACATGAATGTTTATAGCAGCAACATTCATAAAAGCCAAAAACTAGGAACAGCCCAAATTGCCATCAAGTGATGAATGGATAAGTAAATATAATATAGCTCTACAATGGAATATTAGCCATAAAAGTGAATGAAGTATGTGTTATAGTGTGGATACCAGTACATTATGAAAAAAACCAGGCACAAGGGGCCACCTTGTGCCTTGGTATGATTTCATTCATATGATATGTCCATAACAGGTAAAGGTATAGAGAAATAAAGCAGATTAGTTGGCTACCAGGGACTGACTAAAAGGGGTAGAGGGACTGTTAGTGGGTATAGTGTTTGTTTTTAGGTTGATGAAATGTTCTGGAGCTAGATAGTGGTGACCAGTGTATGACTTTAAAAACCACCCAGTGGTATAATTTTAAAGGGGGAATTTTATTGTGTATGAATTATAAAGCTATAATTTAAAAGATATTGCATCCGAAATAGTAGTTGCAATTGAAGTACTCCACTGTTTCCTACTGTAACAGTAGCATAAAATCTCATCAGTTTTTAAAAATTGTGGTATAATATACATAAAATTTGCTATTTTAAGGGCACAATCACTGGCATTATGTACATTCATATTGTAAAATTGTTACCATCATCCATCTCCAGAACTTTTTCCATCTAGTAGTCGCAAGGCCCAGAGAGGTATATTGAAATGGGTTACAGAAACTCACTCTATTTCCTTCAGGTCTTTGAATGTGGCATTGATATCTGCAATTCTTTGCACGAATTGGTTCTGATTTACTGTCTTATCAAGGTAAAGCAGACTCAGGTTTACAATTGGCCCTTTCTATCATAAAGATCAATGTGAGTTCTCTGTGAACTTATATCCTACTTAAGGACTGAGTAGGATAATGTACTAGTATCCACATTATAGCAGCAACCTGTAGAGTGGTCCTATAAGATTAAATTGGGGGCTGGGTTTTGTGGCTCAGTGGTAGAGCGCTTGCCTAGAGTGTGTGAAGCACTGGGTTCAATTCTCAGCACGACATAAAAATCCACAACTATATAGAAAAGATGGGCAAAACCTGCAGTCATCCTTTGACTTCAATGAGTTCCCACTCTTAACTGGAGGATCATTCATTCTACTTGTACAGTGTCAGCTTGTAGCTTAGATACGATATCCACAGGTTATCAAAACCTTAAGTTTTCTTCTCTTGTGGGGCATGGTGGCATTTTTACCTGTAATCCCAGCAGCTCGGGAGGCTGACACAAGAAGATGGCAAGTTCAAAGCCAGCCTCAGCAATTTAGTGAGGACCTAAGCAACTCAGTGAGACCCTGTTTCTAAATAAAATACAAAGAGGGCTAGGGATGTGGCTCAGGGGTTAAGCACCCCTGGGCTCAATCCCTGGTACCAAAAAAAAAAAAAAAAAAATCTTCAGTGCACATTCTAGTTAATGGCTTTGGATTTCCTGGGGTAGAAGTAGAGAGTTGTTCACTGTGTTTTTTTGTGGCATTGAAAAGAATTTTCTCAAGTGCATATATTTTGTTTAATCACCAGGTTCTGAAGCTGTGGAGTGGTTTACGTCAGGAAACTGTTGAGGGACCATGATTTTCATTGTAAAGGATAACATCAGTATTCTGTTCACTTTTAAATATAAGCCATGCATCACTCGCCAGCAACAAAATACACCACCCCATCTCCCTTTCTAACTTTCCTTGAGAACATCATGATCTCTTAGCCATCAGTATAGATTCTTGTAGGTCAAGACACCTGGATTATATCCTACACTTGCTTCCTATTATACATGTCCCACTATGATATCTGTCCTTTGCCATTATGGAATTCTTTTATTTATAATTGGTACTAGGGAGCCCCATTGCTACTACATCTGTCAATTCTAATCTATGAAGGACAACACCATTAAACTTTTCAAAGACGTCAGTACCCTCCACCAGGGTGTCCATTATTGTCTCACTGAAAGGAACATCTTGAGAGTTTTCCCAGATAGCACAAGCCCATGACTGAGGCATTTGAAGAATATTGGCCTAAGGTTTTACACACTGTCTCTTATTATTATTTTTTTTTAATCAGGGATTGAACCCAGGGTTTTTTGATTCTTTTTTGATTAGATTCAATTTGGCAGGAAAATGCCAGAATGATGTGTTAGCATGATTCATGGATTCTTATTTTGTTCCATGGATTATGATCCATTACTATCATCAGGGCTGGCTGCATGATTTATGGGAAAATGTAAAGCCCCTGGGGTGCTGGGGTGTGGGGAGGAGGAAGCCAATTTCTTCTTATTGTCGGTGGCTGACTTCAATTTATGCAAATGAACAACCCCCATGGATTACCATAGCCTCCTTGATGGTATGTTCTTCTTCCTTGAATGGTGGTGGTTAGAAGCCCTTGCTGAATGGGCTGTAGAATGTGCTATAGCGCTGCCAAACCAAGGAAGGGAAAACTACCTTCTTGCCCACCCATGTCCAATCCCAGCTCCTGTACACAACCATGCCTAGAGTGCTACCACAGTGGAAGATGATGGTGGAATGTGGGCCTTCCCCAGCCAAGGTGACTAGGTCATTAACTGGGTGAGTGGCCTCTGCCCTTGAGTTAGATGACGGGAATGCAAAGCCCAGCAGGGATCAGGGAACCAGGGGTGGGGAATGGACAGCAGCAAGAGTCAGACCCACATGTGAGCATAGGCTCTAAGCTGTTAACATGTTCCATTATGCTATGAGACTTCACTTATAAATTATTAAATAAATAAATAAAATTATTAAGCATGTCAAGACAGTGATTATGGAATATTAAAATTCCAAGTACAAGTTCCTATGTGACTCTACACAGCCAGCAACTAGTAGATAAACACTATTTTGATGTTCAAATTGTCCTAGATTTGGCCAGTGGAAACTCCTTCAAGTTGGCTCCTATGATTTTTTCTTTTGTTTGTTTTTGTGATTTGACACTTTTGGTTTTTAAATAGTTTGTATATGAATCTGAAAATTAGGAAGAATGTACTGCAAATGTATCTGGGTGGTAAATATTGGTGACTTGAATATTCTTTTTCATAGATCATATGCTTATGAAGAATCTATATTATAGTTATAAAAAGAGAAACAAATTATTAAAAGCATGTGTTCTTCTGCAAATCTTTGTGATTAAGTACCAGGAAGTAATCAAGGGCATGTTTCCATTCATGTTTTAGGTATTTTATGATCTATTAGTAGGATTATGTGGGAGAAAATAGAAAGATTTGAAAATCTTTTCAAAATAGATAATATAAACACAAAACTCAATAACCAGAGACTAGCTAGGAAAAGGGAGATTAGTTTTCAGATAACTGTAGCTGATGTTAAAATTCAAGTCATTAATTATAGGCCTTTTAAAAAATATTTCAAGTGCAAAAAGTTATATTTAAGTATCATCTTGTTTAGTTTAACAAATATAAAACAAGAATTCCAAAAACAATTTTTACAATTAGATATAAAATATTTAAGAATATATTTGGGCTTTAATAGGGGACATTTTTGAAAAATAAGCTTTGCTAATGTAGCTTAAAAACAAAAAATATGTTTATAGTCTCAGTTAAGTAATTTCTTAACTAAAGATCCATAGGATGGATCCTGTGTCCTTTTGTACATCCCTGTCATTCTCTGAGTAGTACTTTACTTTCTGGCTCATCTTTTTCTTTTCCAGACCAAGTTTTTAATCAGTTGGGTTATTTTTAAAAACTTGATGCAAAATTCACATAAAAACCATTAGCAAAAACAAAGCAACAATAACAAATTAACCATTAGCTCTTTTAAACTGTTCAATTCTGTGGCATTTAGTACATTTACAGTGTTGTATCATTATCACCCCTGTATAGTTCCAAGACATTTTTGTTATCCCCAAAGGAATCTCTGTGCATAAGAAGCT